TAACAGAAAACTCACGTTTTAGCATAGGTCATTCCGGTGGATTTTTCACAATAGTTACACATATGTGCTAAGGTCAAAAATAGACTACATGAAAAGCTAGCTTTTGTTGTGTAGACACAAATTTGTAAATGTCCAAAACTGTAGTCTCAAGCCAAATTTGATTTTTTTTTTGAAAAATTATGAAGCCCACATAGTCCACTTCATCATGTATATGCCAATTTTAGTGCTGATTTTTTTTGAAATTTTGATACATGTTATATTACAGGGGTTATTCATTGTATAAAAATATCACCCATGGCCATCGTACGCTACTGTACACTGCTACCTAGAAGGTAGAAATGCCTAGCGGAAGATCTGACAGATTTATGTTTTTATTCTATATTTTCCTATATCTACTATATATATATATATATATATATATAAACATAAGTGCATTATGTCATTATATCTGACTCTCTATAAAGACGTAGAAACTTTTACCATATATGGAATAGATTCAAATAATGTCCGAAATGCCTCGGACTAGATGCGCGCGTTTAATGTCTAGTAAAATTGACGAAGGGGACAGGCAGGAGTGCCGGGATATGTTTGTTTTCCACAATCACATTACTGCTCTGTGATATAGACATTGTTAATAGGAACAACTATATTGTTTACTACTTACGGCCGCATCAAAGGGTCACAAATTCATGTATGGGTGTTTGGAATACTCCTACTATCATACATTCGTGTTTCACCTTTAAAAATCACCCTCGAAATTCCACGTGTTACGCTAGTTTACGCTCACTACATCTCTGCAATATGTCATGACAAAATCGAAGGTTCTGTACGCACAACCTTGTGGATGAGACGAGAAGACTAGTTTGATCCTTTGATGAACATCAAAAGAATCGCGCGGTAGCGTAACGGTTAACTTGACTTGCTTTGAAGTCGGGTGTTGCTCCTCTTGAACTTTCAAAGAACAGGTACACTGTATCAGCATAGAGAATGGGTCATATTTTACCTGAAACTGAACAAATAGCTCATCTTGTGTCGTCGATTTTGTCATGACATGTTACAATGTGTAGAGAACGCAAAAGAGCGTGACATCTGGCATTTCAAAGTGTGTCTCAGAGAGAATGCCGACTCCCTAGAAATCAATTAACAATTTGAAAATATCAAAAAAATTAGGACAATTTAACACAGCGGACATGTATAAAAAAAAAAAACACTGTCAAACAATGCATTGTATACCTTACCTCCATCATGAAGCAGCATCGATAAGAAACTCATCTCTTCTATATAACAAATTGTCAATCCGTGTTGTTTAAAATATTCTGTGTAAATCCCCGCTTGAGACAGCCATCTTCCATCAGTATTTTACACTGAGATTAAATAATCACGTAACAATAATCCACCTCAACCCAAACTCCATACTAAGTAATACATGTCCCGGAGATATCCGTTTCACCCGCCTCGGACTTAGCGCCAGACTTGTGGTGATAACGACTGGGTTATCTTGGCGGAGGTAGCGGCGTGATTGACGAACCGGCCAGGATTTACGCTGATATAATTGTTATGGCTTCAAACTCCCCAGTATAGATCGATCTTGAATGTTCCATAGTGCTGTCGTGTATAATTTACTACCCCAAAACGTCAATTATTCAAACCACTCTGTAGCCTGTTATCACAGGAGCTTGTTGCGTGTTACTAGGGACTAGTGAAGTGCCTCTGGAAGTACACCCCGGGTGTAGATAAAAATCGCGTTTTCTATTCAACAAACATGCAATATTAAAACTGCTTATATTTAAACCTGTAGTAAAAAACAAATAACCGAAGTCCATAAATAAAAGAAAACTGTCAGTGATCTGAATAGCTTAAAAATGAAGTTTGTTCGCTGTCAAAGTTTACTTGTCATTCAAGACACTTTCTGAAGTCAGCATCTAAGCATACACAGGATTATTTTACATTTATTTCTTGTTAAGTCACACCAAAAGTCATCAGGTCGGGTTAAACCCCCCTCATAACACATGGCTATTTATCTTTGTGTGTTAATGTGCACATATACAATGTATACGACTACATTTCGCGATGTTCTTAACACATTACATAAAGTTTGTATATATCATAATTAGCATTGAAGACATTTTTGGTTCCAATGCATACCGTTCTATCCTCGTGTTGTTGGCCTTTTTTATTTTGATGATGTAAAATTCGGGCTCCTCCAGAGGAGTGACGACTTATAGGTACAAGCAATTAAGTTGCAGTCCTCAGATTGTTGTTTTGACGTTTCTCGTAAGTTGTATACTTTTCCGTTGTCTAGTGTAACTGTAACTGATGCATTTTTTGATATCTAGAAAAAATCACTGATGACTTTTCCCCCGTTCTTTTCGCTTCCTCTACAGATGCGATGCTGTTTTGGTAATTCTTCGTTTACTGTTCTAATCTTCTTCCGGTCTACTCCAAGTAACCAAGTGGGCTCTCCATAGTAACTGCTCCACAAAGCAACTACCCCCGACTTTCAATTGCAGTCGCCAAATAAGCCAATATTTCGCTGACAGACTTCCGTCGCCTGTTCTGCTTTATAAACTTCTTAATTTTCTCCTAGCCTTTCTTCCAACAAAACCCAGTTCTGCCATGACACTAGCGGTTTGGAGGAACTGTACCACAGCCCGTTGACCTGTCTTATACGTGTAAGCAGATGCGTAGTTGCCACTTCTAAAGGGAATTTTATCAGATGAAGGATGTCTGCCCGCATCTCCTTGTAAATTGATGTCAGGATCCTGCTGCCATTAACACTGCCCATTGTCTTCACTTGTACTTTCGCGAATTGTACAATCATTGACTCTTTTAAGACAGTTTGATTTATCCTCCTTGTGACGTAAACTCAACTAGCTATCTCCTCCAAGGCTCTGTCGTGGTTCCATACGTATTTCCCACTAAGTCCATGTCAGGACTCGTTGTGCACGTTTCCAGTGGAACCAGCTACCCTGTTGTTTTATTTTAACACTTTAAAACTGTCGCGATTTCTCCTCCAGTGTATGCAATTATGAACACTCCATTATTATTGTTACATGTACCGTTTCAACTATATCTTAATGTAGAATTCTGGATTTCCTTTACAGCCTCTATCATCCGTCACTTCCTCCAAATTAAAATCAGTACTTCCGCCTGTCTAACTGCGCATCATTGACGTCCCTCTCCTCTGTAGATACTTTTGACTGTTGGAGTTTGTTCCCGGAGCTGTTCAGTCCCGCACTTTTAGAACTTCATGATACACAACGTAGATATGTGCCGTTCAGCCTTCAAAATGATTTAGCTGCTGTCTTTGATACCTCAAACAGCAACAGTATTATAAAAGCCGTTATTGTACGGGAAGGACGTCATGTTGAATTGATACAAATTCAGTATTAAATTTTCCCGGTCAGCCACTCTAGTCGACTTTCCTGATCTACTTCTATGCTTCGTGACACATTTTAATACTACATTCTCTGTCTTTAAGTAAGCTGGTTAACCATGCACTTCCAAATACTCTTTAAATGCTTTATTTCCTCCTTTATGTGCAAATCTTTTCTAAGAATTAGGCTTCTGGACGCTCTTAACTCAATCCTTGTCTATTCTCAATCTTTTGTCAACCCCTCAGGGACCTGCTTATTTGTTACAGCTATATTTTGACCGTTTGGTGTGTCTAGCCTCCCTCACGACAATTAAAATGCTAATTCGTCCCGTCTCCTTACGTTTCATAGCTCCTCTCTATATCTTTGCGATCTCCTGACCTCTCTTGTTTTCTAATGTTCGTTTCCTTGGCTCTGTCTTCCCTACCCAAAATCGTTGCATTTACATATTGTAGATATGTAAATGATGGTTGTTATTAATAGTGTGACTGATGTTCATGCAACTTTCATCTTCAGGACCTGGTCGAAATCCTCTTCGTATTGGACACGTTGTTTTCCCTTCATTCTTGCACGTCCTCTCTCCTCTCTCTCTCTCTCTCTCTCTCTAATAAATCGCATAGATATGCTCACCATTCTCTACCACTTCGACACTGTTTATTTCGTCATTCTCTGTTTGATGTCCTGATCCACCCTCTCCTCAGTCTCACCTAGTTGCTTAGCGTTGACATATGGCACTGCAGTGGATCTTAGAGCTTCTGTTAAGGTCTTTGATGTACCTCCTTTTCTGTTTCTACATTAGTTAAGACCGATTTGTGGTTTCATGGATTACGCGTAATGCCACTATACATGCGTAGCTAGGTTGCTGTATGTTTACCGTTCGATTATAGGTTGCTCTTGATTAAATGTTTGTCTGCTTATCACACTAACGTTCTCAGCAGTATATTGTTTCCATGTTCCTAGTCTAACGCTCTACCACTGAGCTAAAGGGAAATTTCCCCTAGCTGGAAGCTAGAAGGCGACCTTAATCTTATGTACAATTAAAACCTGCCACAATATGATATATATCTATTTCGCACACGCCTTATAAATGCATTTCAACTTCGTTATTTCGCCACAATATGTCAAGAATGTTCTATGATGTCATAAAGGTACAGTATTTGGAGATGCATCGATGAAAACGTATAAACGGAAAAAAAGAAACATTTTAACAACCCTTCATGTAAACAAACCTTTATGTAAAAACTACACATTAGGAGTAACGCGTCCCCTATTTCAATAAGGATTTTTTTTTTATGTTTTTGAGATATAAAGTAATAACGTTCAGATATGTGCTTGTTTTAAATTTTCAATGGTTTAGAAAAATGGTTTGGTGAAAAGACGAGGACAGTAATTTGTCATTTGGTTCACATGTTTCCAAGTTGGATTTTACAAATTGTATAGACCTATTTAAATAAGGTAGGATTGATTTTGAACAGAACACCAGGATGTGTTAAACTGTGAATTTTGTTTTGTGGCAGAGCCTACATCATCGTTTATTTACAACAGCATAGTATCATAATCTGTAAATATTAGCGAACAGGTAAACCGAAAGTAGAAAAAATGTTACAGGAAGTGTGGTAGAGTTATCGCCCTTAGAAAAAATGGCAGCATCCAGAAAATAAGTACGGTAGGAACTTACCTCTGTTAATGTATCACTGTGCTGCTAATTAAGAGCATGTCGGGACTAAACATGTGGTCGAATCGAGAATTGTTATTATTTTCAATGAAACTTCATCCAAAACTAATTATTATTGTCCTGTCCATTCAAATTTATACGAGTAAATAATGAGCGGCTCTACCAACTAACTATACAAGAAGCTTTATTTAGTGTCGTATATGGCATAACATTGAACATTAGCTCTGTGGAGCTATTTTTACGACAAACATAAGTATAAAAACAGAGTAAAAGGCATGCTAGTAGAAAAGGTAGGATTTTGCAGCATAACTATATACATTGAACTACGTATACTAAAATAATCAGAAAACAGTTTGATGATAGCACACATGCATGTTAAAAGCAGGAACAGTACTCAGTAATGATTATAACATAAGCATAAATCATAAGCATAAAACATATAAAAACATATCAGATTTTGCAAGCAGTCATATTTCATATATATCACAGATGGTTAATTATGATACTTTATATTGGAAAATGATGGAATAAAATACTCAGATAAATTAGAGTAAAGTAAGAAGCAAAATAAAAGCAAAAATCTCAAATAAAAATGGGGGATCAATAAGATGAAAGTCACGAACATAAAGAACACTGGCAGAGGTCACCTTCCCAGGTGTGCAACAGCCTACAGAAAACCTTGTAGTTTTCTGCTTGTCTAATCTCATTTGGTAGGCTATTCCAAATGAGATTAGACAAGCAGAAAACTACAAGATTTTCTGTAGGCTGTTGCAAGTATCTTGTGTTCGAATTTGTTCACAACTTACCGCTGACATTATGTTATTTTATCGTAAACTTAACAAATCTGTTAAGCTAGGTTATGTAGAAGGTTTAATTACAGACTGCAAGAGTGTAAAGATATAAAAACCTAAAAAGAGCTAGAAACAAAATCTGCAGTTGGTATGTAAATATTTGAAAACATTAAAAATGTCTCTCTTTCCTTGTTTTAGTTGCAATTGGTGCACCTCGACAGGAGATATTCAATATAGTTGCGAAAAGAACACTGCTTCATATTGTATATAGTAAGACAGAGAAGACTTTGTCATGTTTTCACATTATTATACCTTCCAGGATGCAGATACCTGTGGTCCTAAGTAAACATTCCTGACACTGTTACCAATTATCAAATTAATTTAAAGAAAAATGATGAGCACTCAATGCAAACATTCCATACACTGATATGAGTTTGGATGCAAAAAAAACATGATATTGGATAAAGTGTTTTGAATGGTTCATAAACTTAAATAGAATATACGTCTCTGACTTAAATAAACAAAAAACGAGTTTAAAAAGGAAAGAGTGATGTCTTGGTGAATCAAATATAAAAACAGAGACATGTATATGCAAGATTTTCTATCTAATTCTTTGTCAAGAAATACAATTAACCTAAACTTCCTTTTAACAGTTTTTCAGCCTTGCTCTCCACAGTGATCCTTACTTCGGGGGCAGGTGTTTATGCTCTACCATCAGTCAAACAGAAACTGCATTAAATTTATTCTATTTGTTTGAAGGGAGAAATAAGGAGACTGCAAATTGTATTATGGAGCCAAAAGAAGTAAAAACAACATTGAAAAATGCCAGAGAAGCTATCCGAAATAAAGAGTTTAAGGAGGCACTTAAACACTGCAAGGTATATATGTGCTGATCTACAATGTAAGGATTAATTAAGCATTATGATTGTATTCAGTTGAAAACATTATATCAATCACACAATATATATGGGATACATATGTAATAGGGGGAGGTCCGGAGAGGGTTTTGCATCCGTTGTCACTCCGTTAAATCCGTTTCGTGATCGTATAGTTTTTAGCAATGGTAACGAGTCGACAACTTCCCCTGCAGTCCTCTCTAGACCTCGCCTCTTTCGTCAGGTTACAGACCTGTTTTCACTACAGGTTCGATCGCTGGATGTAGTGGTAGTACCCGCCATTGATTCAATAACTCAACAAGGTGTTTAAAATACAAGTAACTGTTTATTAACAAGACGGAATGATTATGTACAACAAGTTTAACAAATACAAAGCATAGCATTAGTGCCAAACAATGACAACTAATGTTAAGAAACCCAATCCCTACGTAGAGTAATGACCTATCCTACCTAACAGTACTACCAGTAGACTACGACCACGTGCTCCTAGCTCCCTATAGATCTACAGCGAACCACCATGTATCGATGTCTAAGCCCGAAGCCCCTGACTATCCCTTAATACATGTACTGTAGTTCCTATAGCACTCTATATATCCCAGGAACGATAACTTCATGTAGTCCTACGGTATTGGTACTGTTAGCAGCACCTCGGCCCATGTTTTGCACTGTTAACAGCGCATGAGGCGGTAATGTTCTCCTCACCAGGAGAAGTGGGTCGGCTCACCGACCCTGTCAAGACACTGATCCCCGCCCGGACCCGCTGTTTTATACCCCCTGCTCCCCCCACCAAATAGCCTCGAAGATGAGTGATCAACTGTTAATCTCGAACCCAGCCTCATCATCTAAAAGCATGTGAGCAAGGAGCGGGAACCTATTCCTGTTATTACTATCACCCACTTCCGGCCGTCTCAAAAGTGTAAACACACAGATTTCAGCACCGGTATCGTAGCAGCTGATCGCCAGGAATCCTACACTGAACGAAAAGCCCTACCCTACATAAGGGTGAATAACACAGAAAGTAACAGAGCCCTGTCTCTAAATCATAAACAACAATTATACTTAACAAAGTAATACAAATGTGAGAAGTAAACAACCTACCCTCCCACACATATACATAGCCAGATCAGAATTCAAACCTGAGAATCTGCATGAAAACAGCTAATCTTCTGTCACATATATTGTTCCTGTAATTATGTTAACCTGAATTGGTCCCCTCTGAAACTCCAAACTTCATTTTGGCTAAAAACAAGAAAAATCTGTTTTTGCTTTCCATACTTACTGTAGTTTTTAGTACATACCATAATTGGTTGCTTTTTAAAAGAAGGTAATTAAAGCTATAATTTAAAGTTGGTTATAATTACTTTTAAGAAACAATGTTAAGGTCTGAAACACTGTCTCTATAGTTTTGTAAAAATACTTTACAAAATAATCGTATGTCCTTACAGTCTGTACTGGCTTGGGACAAAAACAACTACAATGCATTGGTATTTGTGGGCGTGGCTGCAGAGGGACTCGACCAGATTGAGCAGTCAGTCAAAGCCTATAAAAGGGCCATAGAAGCAGCCCCTAGTCAACCCCTGGCCTGGCAGGGATTGGCTGGTCTCTACGAGAAACGTCCATCAAAAGAACACGACACAGACTTGATCACTGTTTACCAGAAGCTGCAGAAATTGTATTGCAGGTGAGGACAAGTCTAAACTTAACTAATTTTATGAAATATTTTACAAGTTAAATATTGAAATGTTCTCAGAAATGTTCATTTGTCTCCCTGAGGGTTGAATTTCTTTAAAAGCATCCTTTCTTGGAGATACAATTTATTTCCATGTATAGAATATTATTTATGCATGACTCTAAACCTGGGTTGCTAGCGATCACTACAGTGTCATACTGAAATCAGCATTACAATGAGGAATGCTGTATTATTTTGTTTAGGTGTTGTTCTCTCACTCATAGTTTATATGTATTGTTATATAAATATATTAGATGTATTGTTCCATTATGTACATCTTTTTAACACTAGCTGGTCAAGTTGATAATGTACCTCTAGTTCGGAGTTGTTTTTGGCATGTTGTATGTGCGAATTTACGCTTTGCTGACTGATTGTTTTATTTATTTATATATTTTTTCGCCCAGTGATAAGGAGAAGGTACGAGAGACTGATTGTTTTATTTATTTATATATTTTTCTCGCCCAGTGATAAGGAGAAGATACGAGAGACTGATTGTTTTATTTATTTATATATTTGTCTCACCCAGTGATAAGGAGAAGATACGAGAGACTGATTGTTTGATTTATTTATATATTTTTCTCGCCCAGTGATAAGGAGAAGATAAGAGAGACTGATTGTTTTATTTACTTATATATTTTCTCGCCCAGGGATAAAAAGAAGATACGAGAGACTGATTGTTTGAATTATTTATATATTTTTCTCGCCCAGTGATAAGGAGATGGTACGAGAGACTGATTGATTTATTTATTTATATATTTGTGTGCCCAGTGATAAGGAGAAGAAACGAGAGACTGATTTTTTTATTTATTTATCTATTTTTTCGCCCAGTGATAAAGAAAAGATACGAGAGACTGATTGTTTGATTTATTTATATATTTTTTTGCCCAGTGATAAGTAGAAGATAAGAGAGACTGATTGTTTTATTTACTTATATATTTTCTCGCCCAGGGATAAAAAGAAGATACGAGAGACTTATTGTTTTATTTATTTATATATTTTCTCGTCCAGTGATAAGGAGAAGATTCGAGAGACTGATTGTTTGATTTATTTATATATTTTTTCGCCCAGCGATAAAGAGAAGATACGAGATACTGATTGATTTATTTATTTATATATTTTTCTCGCCCAGTGATAACGAGATGGTACGAGAGACTGATTGATTTATTTATTTATATATTTTCTCGTCCAGTGATAAGGAGAAGATTCGAGAGACTGATTGTTTTATTTACTTATATATTTTCTCGCCCAGGGATAAAAAGAAGATACGAGAGACTTATTGTTTTATTTATTTATACATTTGTCTCGCCCAGTGATAAGGAGATGGTACGAGAGACTGATTGTTTGAATTATTTATATATTTTTCTCGCCCAGTGATAAGGAGAAGGTACGAGAGACTGATTGATTTATTTATTTATATATTAGGCTCAACCAGTGATAAGGAGAGGATACGAGAGACTGATTGTTTTATTTATTTATCTATTTTTTTGCCCAGCGGTAAAGATAAGAGACGAGCGACTGATTGTTTTATTTACTTATATATTTTCTCGCCCAGTGATAAAGGGAAGATACGAGGGACTGTTTGTTTTATTTATTTATTTATTTTTTCGCCCAGTGATAAGTAGAAGATAAGAGAGACTGATTGTTTTATTTACTTATATATTTTCTCGCCCAGTGATAAGGAGAAGAAACGAGAGACTGATTTTTTTATTTATTTATATATTTTCTCTCCCAGTGATAAAGAGAAGATACGAGGGACTGATTGTTTTATTTACTTATATATTTTCTCGCCCAGTGATAACGAGATGGTACGAGAGACTGATTGATTTATTTATTTATATATTAGGCTCAACCAGTGATAAGGAGAGGATACGAGAGACTGATTGTTTTATTTATTTATACATTTGTCTCGCCCAGTGATAAGGAGATGGTACGAGAGACTGATTGTTTTATTTATTTATATATTTTTTCGCCCAGTGATAAGGAGAAGATAAGAGAGACTGATTGTTTTATTTATTTATATATTTTTCTCGCCCAGTGATAAGGAGAAGTTACGAGAGATTCTGGTGAAGCTTGCTAAGCTTTACATAAGACTTCAGGACCTAGAAAAGGTGAGGACTATAAACTGGACTTGCCCAGTCTTTGATTTGATAAGGTTTAAAGGTGACTTTAGGGGTGAATGGGTTAAAGGGGCTGGTCGGGGAAAAAATGTCATATTTGCTAAAATGGCATACACATGTTTAAAATGCCTTCTTATGAAATATACCGATACAAATTTTGCTGAAATTCACTCCCTAAGAGTTAAGATTATAATCAACTTAAAGAAATCTTAAATCGTCACCTGACAGTCTAAAACTCTCAATTGACCCAGATCAGTGATGTAATTTTACCGCACACGCGTCATCAACAAGGCCAAATGATGCATGCAAAAGTCATGACAGGCACAAGGTATCAATACCGATATATATAACAACATATAGGTAGGAATACTACACTTGCATCATATACATGACCTTTGAAAACAATTATTTACGTATAGTATTGCTGTCTTGTCCGCTAGTTGAGTCTGACATGGCACATGACGGCGTGCTATTGTTGTTATCTTCACTGCCTCACTTTCGAAACAACCACGTGACATATATAAATAGATATGCGCTAAATGTACGCGGGGCTTCCCCGATATTTCAGTGGTCAAAACTGGACGTTGCAAGCAGAACTCGACCATCATATTGCCGTGGTATAACTTTTGGAAGGCCAGAGAACGCATTTAGACCCATTTATTTTATAATCTTTTCCCCGACCAGCCCCTTTAACCTGGTGTAATAACTTCTAGTTAAAAATATATACTAAAGTGCAAAAATGCAATGTCTAGATTAAAATGTGACCCTGGGATCTGCAGACTCAAGGCTTTCTTTTGACCCATGACATTTAGAAGTCCAATATAATTTTTTCTGATTGTTGTAAAATCAAAACATATGTGAAATAGAACTATACTTTAAAACCCAAGAGTCAAAGATCATTTTGGGGAGTCAAAACATGCTTTCAAGTCTACTGAAAGCCCTGAGACTCTAGACAGATGCTATAAGAATCTGAGCTGCCTGATCAGTTATCTTAACAAAACTACTAGATTACTGGCTATTGACCCATTGAAGTTCACAGCATACAATTGTTACATGTATATGTTGATGGTGAAAATGATATGTATGGTTAAAAGGAATCATTATTTGATTGTCATATATTTTGAGTTGTAATAAATATGTTGATTATGAATTGAATGAGGGAAATAAATTTAACAGAATCCTCAGAACATCTGAAACATGGTTTAGTTTTGTAGCTCATTTTTGTCCCAAAAACAACACTTTGGATTCAGTACTTCAATCCAAAACTGTGTGCAGTAGTTCCAACAAATACTGAGTTGTTTTATCTGCTACCAGGGGTTACAGATATATGAGGAAGTGATGGGAGGGGAAGAAGATTCAGCCAGAAAAATTCACCTTCAAACTGACTTAGTTGACCTCCTTATGGCAGAGAAAAATCTGACAACTCAGCAAGAACACATGGTGAGTTCACAGGTTTTATAGTGCAGATCATCAACAGAACATCAGGACTCGTATTCATGAAACCGTTCTCATGCTCAAGCATGGATTTAGTGCTCAAGCCTTATTTATTGTTCCCGTTATAAATTTATAAAAAATATCTTACTCTGTTAATAATTTGGAAAAAAATTGAAGAGACATGAAAGTGGAAAACTGTTTCCAATATTTAAATTTGACTTTTTGATCGTTTGACATGATTAAATTAAAAGCGAGCAACAAGAAAATTGGTTTGAGCAAAGAATTCATGCTTGAGCTGTTGAGAATGAGAACAGTTTCATAGATGTTGGTCCAGGAGAATATTTGCAAGCAAATTTCATGACCAAGCAATAATTGAAGCAATGAGTGCCATGTACATATGAGATGGTATGTACTTGTATCTATACAACCAAACCAGATCTTATTGAAACGGGTGCAATTGACAACTTTTCACCAGTTGCTTCTACATTCTAGTTGTTATATACTTTTCAGGTGATGGAGCTGGTTACTGGACTGACACAGAAGGAGACTGTGGTCACCTTCACCAACCCAGAACACACAGTCGCCAGGTACCTGGACCTTCTCATCAAGGTAGGCAAAATATAAACCAATTAATGTAATGGTATCAATTTATCACACTTAACTTAAACGTAAAGGCCAACTACCCTAGTCAGTGTTTTACAGTGACGGGCAATTGTTTTAAATCATTATTCATAAACGATTTGTAATCAGAATATTAAACCAATTGATCCATTGTATAATCGGTTCATAATTTTGTATGGGACTGAATACCCAAATAAAGTAAGAACACTACTATTACATCAATAGACAGAGTTGTTAACTATACACTAGGCTTCATTTTATAATGAATGAATTTCAAGCAACTTGTTTATAGAGTTTTTTCAGTCATAGAAAAAGTCATAAGAATAAATTACTTCAATTGCATACTTTATATTGTATAAATTTGACACTTTGATTTCAATAATGAAAATGACACATTATGTCGGTTATGGAATTTATAACCGATTCTTGGAATCGGAAAGGGCAAACTGATGGATTTCAATTATAATCGATCATCAGCCCATCACTAATGATTGAATACATGTACAGTACGTAGGACTGATCGTCAACAGTAAATTATGAGATCCATTTGTCTGTTGTCCAGTACCATAAGGTGACCAACCTTCCTGATCAGTGTGGTCGCCTTCACTCTCTGTTCCCAGCGCTTTCTCGTCCTCTGGAAATCCTCATCTTACACTACATGGAGACAGAAACAGGTATCTATTGTTTTGACTTCTTTTTGTACTATGTACATACTTATACTCCCCGAAACAATGTAAGGAGGTGACAAGGGGTATGTTCTGTAATCAGGGTGTCTGTCTATCCAAAGACACAAATTTGTCCCGACCAGTTCCTTTAAAGCACTGAATTTAATATATTGATTTCAATAAACATTTGTTAATTTCAACACTTTTGCAGAGTTATGCCCCTTCTGCTTACATTTCAATGTTAGGTAAACAGCTTCGATTTGGTGTTGTATTGTTTTTAATATCTATTTGAAAAATACACAGTGTAGAGTTGAATGTATGATGTTCAGAAATGTCAATTTTGTCTGAAAAATTACACTGACAGAAAAAATTCTGAGTATATACAGTAATACACATACTTGAAGTTCATTGGAAACATACATTTTACTGTAAAGTAATACTTATCTGATTAAGTACGTAAAAAATGTTTACATATTTGACCTGAGCCTGTGTACATGTAGAAATAAAACAACTGGAGGACACTGTTGATAAGCTGAAGGACCTTGATCCAGAAAGTCCGTACCTTGTCGCAGCCCAGGGCTTCATATTGATATGTCAGAAAAACTACATTCAGGCTCGACCATTGCTTGCCTCAGGTAGGTCTAGATTTTAAATGACATTTTCTGTACTTTGGGGTTAGAGATTATAGGAGACATTTTGTTTATGTGCTACCCATTTCTCGAGTTTTGTTTGTAGTTGACCCTTCACATGTCCATTTTTACTTCACTCAAAAAGTTTTATACATTCGTCGTTTCAAGGAAAGATAAGCATAAAAATGCTTTTTTGTATTAAATAGGTCAATTGGTCAAGGTCACAATACAGTATAGTCCATATACTACCTAATTGATTTCAGTTTCTAGATCTCAGTTTTCTTTGCCCTGACATGGATGTAATCTATAATCTGATTGATGATGGGATATTTTCCTTTACAGTTAAATTAAAAAACAAAATTTGACTTAACAGTATTACTTGTGTATTTTTTATAGCTGCTGAGATCCTGAAGAAAGTAGTCATAGTGCATTACTACCTAGCCAAGGCGTTGTTTACACTACACATCAACAAACAGGCACAAAGGGCCTGTGATGCCTGTAAGTATTATTCTACCTTTCATCACTAATAAATAAGACAGGAATGATATTACCTGAAACCTTTACTATAATTGGTGCAAAACTTAATTTGTATTCAAGCCTGTCCAAAAAAGGCCTGTGCTCTCTGTAAGTATACAGTTACAGTTTATCACCTAAAATTTTATTACTCGTATTAACTGTATATATGGATATCGAATGTGGAGGAGTTGGGCCCACTTTAAGACCCATTAATGCTTTACAGATCATAACACTAAATAGTCTCATAGGGTGCATGGTACTTTATACTTTAAAGGTAAAATCTTCTGCATTTCAAACTCTGATATCTTGAAATTTCAATACTGTATATCTTGTGTCCTTGTCCTGTTCTTGTCCTCTTTATTTTCTTAAAAATACCCGGAGTTTAATTACTGTTCAGAAAAAAACTCTTCTTTGAATTGTTATAAAGTAAACTTGTACATTATTATGTTGTTTTTCTGTGCACTGAAATGAGTTTTGCTTGACCAGGTTTTAGTGTGATGCTGAAGAAGGACCGTGTGGTGATATCAGCTGGTGAACTGGACTCGCGTCTGTCCGTCCTACAGTCCCAAATAGACTACAGGAAAGGTACACCCACCTCCCTGGACAGGGCCATTCAAGCACTTTCTCAGGTAATGTGATGTCTGTTGTCTTAAAGTCTTGAAAAGAATACAGGATAGGTTTACAGGCCTTCCCCAAATGTGGTCAATCAAACACTGTCTGTGCATGTGTAAAGGAACACAATTTTTGGAAACCTTAAATCTCTCTCAACGATATAAGCTTCCTTACTGTGACATAGATACTTTAGGGTGTTTATGACCATACAGAGACGTGGACAGTTAAGTATTTTTGATACCTTAATTAAGGATGTATGCTACCCTACTGTAATATGGAGACTGATGAATATTTGAAAAAAACTTATTGTCACATGGAGACTTTTAGACATATATGCTACATACTCTGACACCTAAGGATGTATGCTACCTTATTAAGACATGGACACTTAAGAATATATGCTACCTTACTGTGACATGGAGAATTAAGGTTGTATGTTACCTTACTGTGATTTAGAGACTTAAGGGTGTATGCTACCTTACTGTGACATAGAGACTTAAGGATTCATACTACTTTCCTGCGATATTTCCTTTCCAAAAGAAGTTCAAACTTTAGAACATTTATATGTATAGTAAATTGGACATGTTGAATTACTTAAAGATATGTATGAAGGTACAAGGTACATCATAATGAATGTATTGATAACACAAACATTATGCAGGTACTGTAATTCAGAATTATGAGATAATGCCAAACGGAAAGCTTAAAGGAGTAACTTTAACATACAGTATTTATCACATATATGAAATAGACGTAAGGTATAGGTAATATCCTTATAGAAGGCTACAGTTTACCAAATTTAAGTCATGTTTGGAAAGAAACCTCTGTTGAGTTCATAAATATATTTTGTTGCTAATTCTTTTGAATATGTTTGTTTCTATTTATTTACGTAGAGAGGAGAGCTTCCCAGTGATCTGAGGATATTACTGGGATTTGTTTACCTGAAGGCCGGTAGAGTTGAAGATGCCCAGGTAAGTGTTACTTCATTTTACTAACAATAATAATATTATTGATATAATGATGTGTTTTTACCAGTGACATGCATGATATTTTGGTCAGACTAAAGTAAATAAATTTTCAACGCATTTACTGCAGTTCATTTTCGCCTTTTTCACCCTCCTTAGCGAGGGCAAATTTATCACTACAAAGAACATCAATAAAAATATAAAATACAAAGTAATTAAATGTGAAGAGCAAAATTCTTTCTGGGCGAATATGGATTTTACCGGCGAAGGACGAAAGTTTGACTGCAATAAACATTCCTTGTAAACAGTTTACTGATGACTGTTTGTTTGGTTTTGATAGAAATTGGTGACCGGTACCAAGGACACAGCCGCTCTGGACGGATGGGCACATTTTGTCAGTGGAGATTACTCTGGGGCTATCCTCAGGTATGCATGTTTTGATTATCTGTATCTTGTCCATGAAACACAAGACATGTTAATGGAATTCAGAACAACAGTGTTAATACAATGTGGTCATACACAGCCAATTATACTGTATGTTCATGAGTGAGGGTCATGCATCGTTGAACAAACACATGTCACAATCACATTATGAACATATGTTAAAGAACCAATGTCATACACCACACAATGAACGCTTGTTTATGCATAATGTCATACACCACCAAGTGAACAAATGTATATACCAAGGTCTTACAATATCAACGTGCTTATTGTTTATGATATATATAAGCCATTCATGATCGCTTGCCCTCAAACTGAGGGCTAGAAATACTGTAGAACTGATGTGCAATGTTGATATTGTAGTAAACCATGCAAATATATATTGTTGAAGAACATTGGGTAGCATTTTCTATCAGTTTGACTGTTGAATATGAGTTATGACGTTATGAGTTAGACAAATTAAAATATTTTCAGCATCCTTTTTTCCACAGGTTAACTCTAGCCCTAGAAGCTGCTCCAAGTGAAAGTGAGAACCACCTGATGCTGGGTAAAGCATTGTGGGCAGTGTGGAAGGAGGATAAGTCTAGAGAGTCGGCGGAGAAAAGCTACATGTCTTTTCTAAAGGTAGGGGGTCAATGTCACAGAAATGTCAAGGTCACTGTCAGACTCACAAGTAACACAAATTTATCAGTTTATTTTGAAACAAATGAGCAATTTATTACCTGAGTAAAAGCGGGTGTATTCAGTAAAATACACAATTTCATGATTATGTAGTTATAATGATTGAGCTTCAAGCATGAATTCTTTTTCGTTATAAGGTAAAAATAAAAGTATAGCGGAAATAGACTGGGTCGATCGACGGCCACCAGGTAGAGCATCAGTCTAGAGTTTGGAGGGACCCGGGTTGGAACTCCGGTCTGGTCGTGCATTTTTACTCTCCTGTAACAAAATGTAGTTGTTATGCAACATATCTGTGTGTTACAGGCAGCCAAGTTGGACCCATATAACAGCGAGGCTTTCCTGTATCTCGGTCACTTTTCCTTAGATGTCCAGCATGACAAGGTCAAGGCCACCAAGTGTTATCAGAAGGGGTTTGACCTTGACAATGACAATGATGATGCTGGTGCTGCCCTCTGTGATCTATTGTCAAGTGCAGGTCAAGAGGTCAGTTACTGTAATGACCAATAACCTAATAAACTGTAGTGATATAAAGATTATAGCTAGTCTTATGACGGCGTTGGTTGGTTATGTTACCAGGAGTGAGAAACAGTGAACAAAAGCGTAGAAGTGGACTACCTCTCATTCAAATCAATTAGAATTTGTGTCCAAGGACAAATCGTCCCCTATTTGTTGCAGTTGTACCAAGAACTACACATTGATCACTAATGTATACTGAGAATTTTTTACAGCAGTTAAAAATTTACCTTTTTTTTTGCCCTCTGCAATGACAGTCAATTTATCATTTCAACAGACATTATCAAATAATACAATACATATGTATCAAATGTGAAGGGTGAAATATTCAACTATGTATCAAATCTTACATTTCAGGAAGATGCCCATAATATCATCGTGTCTGTTACATCTAAAGCTAGTGCTGGAAGGTAAGCACATCAATTGTATTTTTATCAAAGTAGAAATGACAATTTTTCATATGTAGACTTCACAATGATTTTTTCTTCAGTTAATTTTTTTTAAATTACTTTGGTTTTGTTGAAGATAAACTGTTAAAGTTTTTGTTTAAATTGAAAGTTTTTCTGTTTTGCCTTTCGTTGATAGTGCCAAGTGGGCGTGGCTAAGATTGGGGCTGTACCAAGTCAAACATGACAGTCCATTTGTGGCCGTCACCAGCTTCCAGTCAGCACTGAGAGCTGATCCTAAAGACAAGTATGTATAAATATTACCAACATAATATCCTCTCTCTTAATACCAGCTTCCAATCAGCATTGAGGTAACCCTACATATAAAAATGTACAGTGTTACTGACCTATATCAGTTGCTTCCAGTCAGCGCTGAGGGCCATAATTAAGGCCTTTATGCATTATAAGAAAACGTTCTTTCAGCATGATTTTAGCTTTGATAAATGACTTCTGAAAAGAAAAACATACCTTGAGGTAACTTTTATGGAAAAATTAAAACTTCAAGATAAGATAAACAACAAAACTCAATACAAATTCTATTTCCTTACTTCATACATAATCGCTAGTTTCCTGTCAGCACTTAGAGAGCCTTGGAAAAGATTTGGGAAGGCCTGCATTTTAATATTTGCAGGTCCGTCAGGTTTTACCCCTGAAATATTAAATTTAAAAACAGACAAACTGGTTGGGCTGTAAAAAAACAGGCCCTTGGTTTCATATCTGAATTAACCTTGTGTCTAGGTGACAAGTATATAAATAAATCCTGTTTTTACATCTGATGCATGTTACAGTCATGTGTGGGAGTGCCTGGCTGAGGCCTACCTACACAGAGGCAGTCTGACAGCTGCACTCAAGGCCTTTACCAAGGCATCAGAGGTAAGACTCTTACAAGACATACATGTACTTCACAGAGGTAAGACTCTTATAAGACATACATGTACCTTCAGAGTGGTAAGACTCTTACAAGACATACATGTACTTTACAGAGGTAAGACTCTTACAAGACATACATGTACCTTCACAGAGATAAGACTCTTACAAGACATACATGTACTTTACAGAGGTAAGACTCTTACAAGGCATACATGTACCTTCACAGAGATAAGACTCTTACAAGACATACATGTACCTTCACAGAGATAAGACTCTTACAAGACATACATGTACCTTCACAGAGATAAGACTCTTACAAGACATACATGTACCTTCACAGAGATAAGACTCTTACAAGACATACATGTACCTTCACAGAGATAAGACTCTTACAAGACATACATGTACCTTCACAGAGATAAGACTCTTACAAGACATACATGTACCTTCACAGAGATAAGACTCTTACAAGACATACATGTACCTTCACAGAGATAAGACTCTTACAAGACATACATGTACCTTCACAGAGATAAGACTCTTACAAGACATACATGTACCTTCACAGAGATAAGACTCTTACAAGACATACATGTACCTTCACAGAGATAAGACTCTTACAAGACATACATGTACCTTCACAGAGATAAGACTCTTACAAGACATACATGTACCTTCACAGAGATAAGACTCTTACAAGACATACATGTACCTTCACAGAGATAAGACTCTTACAAGACATACATGTACCTTCACAGAGATAAGACTCTTACAAGACATACATGTACCTTCACAGAGATAAGACTCTTACAAGACATACATGTACCTTCACAGAGATAAGACTCTTACAAGACATACATGTACCTTCACAGAGATAAGACTCTTACAAGACATACATGTACCTTCACAGAGATAAGACTCTTACAAGACATACATGTACCTTCACAGAGATAAGACTCTTACAAGACATACATGTACCTTCACAGAGATAAGACTCTTACAAGACATACATGTACCTTCACAGAGATAAGACTCTTACAAGACATACATGTACCTTCACAGAGATAAGACTCTTACAAGACATACATGTACCTTCACAGAGATAAGACTCTTACAAGACATACATGTACCTTCACAGAGATAAGACTCTTACAAGACATACATGTACCTTCACAGAGATAAGACTCTTACAAGACATACATGTACCTTCACAGAGATAAGACTCTTACAAGACATACATGTACCTTCACAGAGATAAGACTCTTACAAGACATACATGTACCTTCACAGAGATAAGACTCTTACAAGACATACATGTACCTTCACAGAGATAAGACTCTTACAAGACATACATGTACCTTCACAGAGATAAGACTCTTACAAGACATACATGTACCTTCACAGAGATAAGACTCTTACAAGACATACATGTACCTTCACAGAGATAAGACTCTTACAAGACATACATGTACCTTCACAGAGATAAGACTCTTACAAGACATACATGTACCTTCACAGAGATAAGACTCTTACAAGACATACATGTACCTTCACAGAGATAAGACTCTTACAAGACATACATGTACCTTCACAGAGATAAGACTCTTACAAGACATACATGTACCTTCACAGAGGTAAGACTCTTACAAGACATACATGTACCTTCACAGAGATAACATTTGTATTGATCACTGTTTACACAGAATTAAGTCTTTATAGACAGGACAACATTTCATTAAAATCTGAAACAATATTTCAAATGATGATTTGTTTCCCCCCACTCTATCAGTTAAAATTGAATATTAACAATTTCTACTGCTTAATGTTATCTATATGATACAGATACCTCCTGCATATCAAATACAATTAATTAATTAATCCATTGTCTGTGTATCCAGAAAACAATAAAGACTCTCATTCTTTAAAATAGACATTGAAAAGCTTTCCACAATTATTATACTACGTACCTGGCAATTATTTTTGTTAGTTTTATCAGCGAACAGATAATTAAATGTATCATAAAAAAATATCTCTTACCTGGAAATGTTATCTATTAAAATTTAAATGTCAATTGTATGTTGTCAAGTTCTTGTTCAATTTTCACCTTAAATGTCACCAAATGGGTGTTGAACCTACCTACAATAAAGTTCTAAGTGACTGCTTTAACGAATTACAAAGATCAATTGTATTGACTTTCTTCTAGATTGATTTTCTTTTTGTGTTTCAGCTGGAACCAAACTCCTTGTATTGTTTGTATCAGTAAGTAACGGCACACTGTACCTATATGTTTCCGTTTTGTTTCATGATCAACCAATTAAAAGGTTGTTCCTTATTGTAAGGATGACAGTGGTCTTTGAAGGATTTATTAATTGTAAAAATAACCTTGGAGAACTGATATACTGTAAAAAATATTTCAGGTAATATTGGTTCATGGTAAACATGACCTTGGACGTTGGTTCATTATAAAAATGACGCTGGGATGTAGATTAGTGGTAAAATTTTCTCAAGAGTATCAGTTGTATAAACGAACCCACATTTAGCAGAGAAATTTCTACTACTTATGTCTCATTTAATATTTATTTCATAAATCCTGAATTTCTCCAGAATTGCTGCTATAAAGCAGACCCTGTGCATGTACACGGAGGCCATTGCGGAGTACAAGGTCATCCTGGAGCGCTCGCCAAACTACGTACCCGCTTTAAAGGGTTAGTATTCCTAATGAAAACGCACCAGATTAAGCTATAGTTTGTTCAAATGTTTCACCTTTATTTTCTTTTCAGTAGTTATGACATGCTGAATGCAACTGAATATGTTCTGATAAATCTTAGGTTTGGTTTGTTTGTGTTTTATGTCCTATCAACAGATACATTCATTTAAGGACATGCCAGGTCTTGGGGGGGGGGGGGGGGGGGGAAGCCGGAGTACCCAGAAACAGACCAGTGGCCACGATGCAGGCCTCAAACCTGTGACCCAGTGGTGGAAGGCTTGATTAATCTAAGGATTCATAAAGTAATCCTATTGAATGATAAAAAAAAAAGTCTATGTATTTTTTCTATCATGATTTTTATAAAATCCTTTTTTTTTTTTTAAATAATTACATTTTATGTAATTTATCTGATAACCAGGTATTGGGGAGACTTACCTATTGCTGGCTAGGACTCACCTGTCACACAGTTTCTATGGTCGTACTAGAGATAACTGTGAGTCTGCCCTGCTGTTCCTCACCAGGTAAGACAGACCAGGTAACAAAGTAAAATATATCAAAGCCTGGTATTCATTAACCTAAAGAAAAGATGAAGATGTCTGTACTATTTAATCAAAATGTAGGTTACAATAATGTATTATAACCAAAACATGTTTTACTTGTTTCCATAGCCCTCACAGTACACAGACTTTGTACAGGAGCCAATGAACAAAATCAAATCTCTGTTAGGATAATATTTGATAATGATGAGAGATATTTCTATAGTGTTTCACTTTTCTAACAGAGCATGTGTAGTTTTGGGGTTTCTATAGAAAGGTGTAAGCTATAGTGTGTTATAATGTACTACTGAAAGCATTATAATCATAATGATATAATCTGAGGTTCTTATATACCACTTTATCACAACCTAGTTCATAGGTCATCTCAAAGCAGTACACAAATTATTATCCGTGGTTATAGGGCGTTTGCAACCAGCCAATATCTTTCTCAGCTCCCTGGGGAGCATACAGCCGGTGTTGCTATTTCGACACTCACAGCTAGCATTCAATAATTCTAGCACTGCCCAACCACATACTCATTTACAGCTGAGTAGACTGGTACAAGCGGAGTAAAGTATCTTGCTCAAAGATACAACACAGTGCCATGCCATGACTCGAACCCACAACCCTTCCGTCACGAAGCCTGTGTCCTACCACGAGACTACCGTGACTCCACATCATAAAGAGTATTTGATAACCGAACCAGCTACACCAGCTCCCCCCACCCCCACCTCAAAATAGAAAATAAGAAAAAAGAGAAGACATTGGGTGTTTTGGAAATCTGTATAACGATACAATGTAAACCGCTCCCCATAACATTTGGAAATAAAGACATAACAAAACAAATATACTCAAACAAATTTGTCTTTTGTTCTGTAAGAAACTGTTTCTGTTGCACAGAGCGGCAAACCACCGGGCAGACATGTCCTGTCTGTGGAAGTTAATGGGTGATGCCTGTACCCTGATCCATGTCCTGGCACCAGAGACCTTCAGCCTCACTGTGGACAACAAACTAGTGACCAAGGCAGGGGAGACAAGTCCCCCGGGGACAACAAGTATAGGACTGTCACAGACACTGGAGCTGGGGGCTAGGTATGGTGCACAAAGAAATCTAATTTAGGGCTGTCACAGACCCTGGAGCTTGGGCATGAAAGTTACATAGGTATATTCTATATAGGGCTGTCACATATGTATTCCCTGGTGCTGCAAGGCTGGGCAAGTTACAATCAGAGTCATAAATTACAAGGTTGTCTTAGGCCTGCCTATATCTATCGAAAAGTAAATAATTTATATGCACAATTTCAAAGTACAGGTGTATTTTAATTTTTTGTTTGTTTTTGTCATCAACTGGCATAAATTATTTGTCTCAATTTCCAGGTGTTACGGCCGAGCTTTGAAGGCTCTTCCAGAGTGTGCTTCATTATGGCATGACCTTGGGGTCAACTTTTTCTACCAATCACAGCAGTCGACACAAACTGACATGGTTGCCACACTGTCCACGAAAGCTGTGAATGCTCTGAAGAAAGCATTGACCCTTGATCATAGAAACCATCTACATTGGAATGCTCTTGGAAGGGTGTTTTGTTTAAAGGGTAATTTCTCTGTTATGTACCAGCAAGTTCTTTAACCCTTTCACCCCTATGAAACTTAAGTAGACTCTACCCTGCGTGTGATATGAATGAGTCCATTATGGTCCACAGTGGTGATAGGTTAACTAAAATCGTACTATGATAAGCACAACTAAAATTTAGCAGGAAGAACTATATGAAGTATTTCTTGTAGTTATAAACTTTTTTTTGAAGTTCAAATAAATGAAATCTGCTTCATGTCTTAAAAAGACCTATAGCATATACCTGGTACATTATGCTCAAAAAATCATGTTTGATGGTTTAATATTGTAGCAATGCGAAGAAAACTTAGGCTTGGTTTGTGACCGGCAGATGTTCTTGTACTGTATTGAAATATGTATGTTTAATTACAGGGTGTTACAGTCCAGATAAGGCCCAGCACTGCTTCATCAAGTCCATACAGACTGAACCCAATGTAAGATGAACTTACCCACTGTACAGTAGAACAATCTCATTACTTACAGACCTGTTACAAATAATGCTGATAGCAGCGTCATACATGGACATATGTATTTTATTTTCTTGGTTGCATAAATGAATATTAAATTGCATGAATCACTTATTAAAATACCAATGAAGTTATTTGGACCTAGTTAGTAGTGACATTATATATAAGGTTAAAATTTCCTTTTATACAGTATCTGTACTTTGGCAAGTAATAACAATAAGTTGGTCATGAAAAATATATTAAGCACTGAAAATGAAACCAACAATAAGGTATTTGGGCTTCTCAGCCTACTGAAGCAACTAGTGATGAACTATACACAGGAATATGATATTAAAATTTAAAAATTTATATTTTCAGAATGTTGTGGCTTGGTCTAATTTGGCTACACTGTATTTCAAGAATGGTAACATAGAGGTAAGACCTTATATAGGACTGGTAAAGTGTATTACTTTCTTCTTCCAAATGGAGGATTTTAACATATGTACATTGGTCTACTAGCATTTGGTTACATTTGTAGCAATGTTATATATGACATGAAATGTTCCTGGGTCCTATTCTGCATGGTTTGAAGCTATTTAGATTGTTTCTTGGTACAAAATTCATGGATACACAATGACAACCAACAGTAGTTAAGACCCAAAGTTAAATTTATTGCATTTATTTTCTTGGTTCCATAGCAACCATCAATGTTTTTACGCTTCGAAAATTTAACGTCATGCAGTACATCACTTACAATTTGATATGTTTTTCCGTCAGCTTGCCCACGATGCCTTTAAGAATGCCCAGAGTTTAGAACCATCATACGTTGCCTGCTGGATTGGGCAGGTAAGTACCATGAATGTAGATTAATTCCGCATAAAACTTCTGCCAGTTCCAATATGTGGTCATCGATCCCTGCTCAGGATATTCAATATTTTTTTTTACCTCAATGTTGACTGATTGTTTAAATTTTGAAATTATTCTAAACTATTCTAGGAGAAGTAAGAGATATGTATTTGACAAAATTGTCTTTCCTTAAAAAAAAAATCATCCAATTTTGACCAAACTTTGTCAGCTAATATCCTTTACTTTACTGAAGTTGTTAATTGACTTTGTTACACCTCAAGTGAATTTCTAGCTATTTGATTGGTTGGGAGAAAATTAAACAAAAATCTCTGTCCCCCTCCGAAAATGCATTGGTTTTAAGGGGCGCGGGTGATATTGCCATGAGACAATGAAAAATATCACATGCGCAAAAAATGTGCGTGCACCGCTTCGTTTTCCCACCGTGATGGTCACAAGAACGTTTGACGGCAACAGCCAATTTCTTCAAGCGCCGGTGTGATAGCGATTGTAAACAGCAGACTATCAACAAACAAGATGTCATTATCGAGGTTTGCTGCCGTTTCTGAGCTACAAAGACTTTTGGTGTAACAAAATAAATATGACATTCATTAGCAGGTGACAGTGAATATTGTCAACCCGATAAAACCCATTGTCACCCTCTGCTTCGCCTCGGGTGACAACGGTTTTCTCGGGTTGACAATATTCACTGTCACCTGCTAATGAATGTCATATTTATATAGTATTATACATGTATATTAAATAAAGTTTCTTGAATCTTATTGGTTATTTGATTTTTGCAAAATAGCTTTGATTTTCTCAAGATTATAATAATCAAATCACACTGTCAAAGCATTACTCAGAGTTTGTCTTTTAGTATCATCCATATCATGCAGTATCATATATTTTTAGAATATTTGATTAACTTCAACAAATTATCTAGCTCGTGTAAAACTTATTCTGATTTTTAAATAAATTTGATCCTCTTGACTCTGCAGGCACTGATTGCGGAGACTGTTGGACATGAAGATGCTATGGACTTGTTTAGACACACCACTGGGATGGCCAATCACGTACGACTATACCTGTTCTTTGATTGAAAAAGATATTTTATATCAGCACACACTACGTTATTAAATTTGACTCTGTTAATATTTCATATAAAAAATAATTGAAGATAGTTGATAATTATTTGATGTAATAAATTTAAAGAATTTTGTCAAATGTGAATACAGGTTTAAATGTTCTTTATTTTAAATTTTTCCAGATAACTTCATTGATTAATAGGTTTTACGCCCGCTTCACTACCGAGTATTTCGGTTATCCAGCAGACTTTGATGACTTCAATGAACTAGCTAATTGATTATATAGTATGTTCACTGCTTATTCCCCTTGATGTAATTTATTTGGTGTGCAGGTAGAGGGAGCCACCGGGTATGCCAGTTGGGTGTGTACCATGATGAAGGACAAGAATAAACACAACACAGAATTGTTCCGCTACTCCATAAAACAAATGGCCGCCATTCCAGCAGCCTCTGATGCTCTCGCTAAGTATATAGGTACAGTACATGTATTGAAATATTCTTCTCATTACTTGGCCAATCTTAAAGTCCTATATCTGTAAAAGTGTAGAAAGCCATTCAGTTAAGTCTGTAAAATATATTACACTATTTAAACCAATTTTTAGAAACAAATTACAGTAAAGCATTTTTATGTTAAAATCCAGAAGACTTCAGAAATCATTTTATTAATACCGAAATTTGTTTATATTGATGCCTAGAGGATTCAATTTTTTAGCAAAAAACAAGCATATGTTTGTAAGAATGTCCAGAGGATCTCAGGAATAAGTTCATAAAAATTGAAATGTGTCTTTTGAAACCCCTAGAGTCTTTGAAATTTTATAGTTCACTGTAGCAAAAACTATAGCAAGTACTCGACTTGGTCGATTGTCGGCAACCAGGTAGCTCAATTGGTAGAGTGTCCGTCCAGAGTTTCGAGGGTCCGGGGCTGGAACTCTGGTCTGGCCGTGCATTTTGTCCTCTCCTGTTACAGTAAAACAGTGTAATTGTATATATGCAATGTTTTTTCTGGTACTTAGATCTTGAGAAGAACAACCCCACAGCTTACAACATGTATGGATTGTTGTTGGAACATCAGGGGCTATACAAGATGGCCGTCGGCTCTCTCCAGTCGGCCTTGGAGTTGTGTGATCACAACTCACCCTACACACAAGAAATTAGAATCAACTATGCCCGCATACTCTGGTAAGTGTACGGTACTCAACATAATAAGCCCCCAGAGTCCTAAGCAATTTGAGCAATTGGATTTGTTGTAAAATCTTCTAAAATTCTTAAAATATAGTAGCTGTAAAAGACACTTTTTGCTAGGACATCAGCATATTATGGTAAAGCGATGGGATGGGAGGATCAGAGAAAGATCAAGGGGCTCTTATGAGAAATGGGTTGATTATGTGGTCAAAAACGGTATGTAAACTTGTATTTGGTTTAACTTTGGATTTGTAGGGAACAGCGACAGTACAATTAGTGATTTGGGGTTTAACCTTGACCTTGTGTTTGCAGCAAAGATCAGCAGTACCAGGAAGCTGTTGTACAGTACGACCTTGTGACTGACCTTATAACCTTAGAGGACACGAGTAACAAAGGTCTGGCGCTGTACATGGCTGGACGGTACTCGGAAAGTGTCAAAGGTGGGCAGTACAGTTCTTTTATCATGTACCGGGTAGTTATAAATGTATTCCTTCAGCAGCTTGTTGTCTATATCAAGTAACATAGTCACACTTTTATCTTTATGCTCTTTGTACAATAGATTTTCAAGTACAGTTATCAAAACCTATTGGGTTTGCCCTCATGCTGGTATGTACGTATACATGTCCAGTAAAATCTTTAATATTAGATTTCGTAAAAAATCTTAACAACTTTAATTTTATAAGGTTAAGAAGAACAGTATTATAATTTATTCCTGATAAAGTTGAAATAATTTTAAATGGACTACAGAAGTCTCCATTATTATCCCCTTGCAATGAAAGTTAGAGGGGATAAAGGATTCCGTCCGTAGGTAGGACGTACGTACATACGTTTGTACGTATGTTACATGGTACACTGCAGTTTGTCATCGCTCTAGCTACTTTATTCCTCAACAGAATATTATGAAACTTGATGCAAGTGTTTAGTATGATGATACCTTGAATATGTTTGCATTTCGGGTTTCTACGTTGAAGGTCAAGGTCACTTACTATTCTTAGAAAAACAGTTCATCATCACTCTAGCAAATTCCTTAATGAACGTAATTTCATGAAACTTCATGCAAGTGTTTGGTATGGCAATACCTCAGACAAATTTGCGTTTCTAGTTTCTATGTTTAAGGTCAAGGTCACTGTTACTGTTTTTAGAAAAACTTTGTCATAGCTCTGTGACTTCATTCCTCAACGGAATTTCATGAAACTTGTTACAAATGTTTGGTATGGCAATGCCTTGATCAACTTTACCTTTCAGATTTTTATGTTGAAGGTCAAGGTCACTGTTACTATTTTTGTTTTTAAACTTTGTCATCGCTCAAGTGACTTCAATTCCTCTTACATATGACACAATGTGTGAATGTGGGGCGATTCGTATCACTTGTGATGCCTTGTTAATCAGAGTCATCAAATGAAACCTCAAAAAATGGAACATTAATTAACAATGCTTTCAAATTAATTTCTCATGACCTCAAAATATTAAGTGTTATAAATGTTGCAAAACACTTGCTAACTGCAGATAATTATCTTTTGTTCTGAAGTTTACACCGCCGCCCTTGACTTAGCTGAAACGGAGGAAGAACAGTCACATGTGTCTGTTGCTATAGGGATGGTCCACTATGGGGCCGGAGACCTGGACACCACCAAGACTGTCCTCTTTCAAAGGTTTGTAATTCTTCCTTGCTTTTATACAATGCTAACTGATTCAACAAGGGGTTATTAATGTTTGTGGCCCCTCAACATATTGGAGGAGTGTTTTCCATACCTGTCCATCTGTATGTCTGTCTGTACCAAATCTTAGACTTTGCGTTTAGCTCTAATATTTCTCCAATATATTGTATTAAAAGTCACAACAGTTATCAAACTTCATATGTGAATACATGTACATCTGGAGGAGTGGGAGTACTAAAACTAATAGATAAAAAGAAGGTCGCTATGACCTATATTTTCTGCTTCACTTACATAGGTTAGACTTTTGTTTAACCCTTCCATCCCTCTATAACTTTAGTAGACTCTACCATGCATTGATCTGCATGAGTCCATTATGGTCTACAGTGGTGAAAGGGTTAACTCCATTTCTTTGGTTAATAGACATTGTGTCTAAGGCTCATCTCCTTCAAAGTATATGAACAGGGGCTTATAATTATTTTACAAACATTCTCTAGGAATTTGGACTGTTAATCGGTTATCAGTTTGGTCCCCTGAACCAAAGCACCACTTCATTGTTAGCTCTGGTTCTCCAGTAAATTGAGTTTTACAGAAGTCAAGAGTGCTGTGCTGTTGATTTGAATATCCTAAATTATCTTTTTTTTAAGTCCATAAATTCACTAAACCAAATTTTGTATATGTTTATTTAAGAAACATAGAAGGGAAACATAGAAGGGAATATACACAGTTTCTAATTTTCCTTACAAATTTACACATCTGCTGAAAATAATTTTACACTTTTTATCAATTAGAAAAAGAGGTTATTTAAGGAATGATTTTTATTTTTTCAACATTTATGAGGTCATAACAACAATGGGTTTATGGACATATTGAATGAATCGCGTTAGCGATTCATGTAAAATATGTCCAAAAACCCATTGTTGTTATGACCTCATAAATGTTGAAAAAATAAATATCATTCCTTATATTTACATTGACGAATCCTTTCAGTGGATCGATATAACAACGAATAAAACAAATAAACAGGGTTTGTTCCTGCTTATACACGGGTGCAACGCAGTGGCGAGAACAGTGTTTTTTCGCGGGGAAATGTGACACTATCGTGAGAGATCTTAGCAACCGTCAACAACAATAACACAACAAAATGTAGTTCCATATTCAATGTTTATTTGTAGCACAGGACACGTGAATACGTGGATATTTCACAAAGCACAGTTCAATAATATTTTAAGATGTAAGAATTAAGCATCTAGGTCGGTCGTTCCGAGTGAGTAGTTTTTGTAGTGTATTACTACGCAGTGTGATCAGGTTACTATCAGTTCCCACGTGCTGAGATTCTATGAACACCTGTGTTATGCATTTATGAATGTAATTTTTGTCAATGGGTCTAAGCATACAGAATGTAAATATTGAGAAATGAATGGATGTATGAAAACAAAAATGTAAGTGATTGAATGCATGAATGAAATAAAGAAGACAAATGTATTAACTTATAATGGTATAATTTCACAGTTATCAGATGACCCCACCCTCAAGGATTGGCCTGCTTGCTCTGTGTGCCCTTGGGATCCTGCAGACAGATATGACCTTGACCTTAGCTGTCCTTCAGGAACTTTTGGCGGGAACAGGGTCATCCAGTCAGTCAGATGTCGCTCACCTCATGGCCACTGCCAATGCTGTACTTGAGGTAGGGTTTTAGCATTATAGTTTATACAACCACCTTAAACAGTCACAAGGGTGTTACGATCATCCAAGGAACAGATGACCTCATAAATAGCAAGGTCACAAAGGTCATTTTTTCCATCAAATGCCTCCACTATCGTCCGAACTGGAGACTAGAGTGTTTTTTCGATTGAGCTTAAAGTAAATTTCCTGCAGTTGAGCCAGTAACAAGCAACTAATTAGTTCACCTCCGCAATTGTATAATGCTATTCTGCCTAATGTGATAATAGTGGGGCTTCTAACACTATTGATTACATTTTGTGGATGTTGAAAATTAAAAGAAACAATTTCTTGTTATAGATGTACTGTTTTTACTTATACATGGGTAATGCAGATTCATCATACAATAGTGTGAGATATCCTTGTCTTGCCCTAGGGTTGAGATGAGGGGATTCTCCAGTCATAATAATGGTTTGACGTCACATCAACAATACATTAACCTTACGTCAACAATACATTGAGCCTGTCATGTAACACTGACTTGTGTATATGACAGGGTCAACAGTGTAAGAGAAAAAGAACTGTTCACTCCCTTGAAGTGAAATGGGGAATCTCAACCCTCGGGGAAAGATCTGTAAATTGCCAAAGACTCGGCAAACTTGTGACTGGCAACTTAAGGATCTCCCCTGTTCGGTTGAGATTCCCTATCTGATCTTCAAGGTTTTGAAAGATTTTATTAATCGTCACCATGTTAATATTAGAATAAACCTTTCCCTGTCTGTTGTTTTGTTTAGAATCTCTATTTCATGCCAAACATTCATTTTTACAGATATATAAGTGCTTGTTCTACTATGTATGTCATAAAGGTTTCGGTGTATATCTGGTATAAACAAAAGTTGATCTACATCACATGAATGGTTTACTTTTCAGGGTAATCCATCTGCAGCCAAAAACTTTATCCAGCAGTGTATACATAAACATCCGGACCAAGTGGATCTGTGGCGCCTCCTGGGGTCTGTTCTTATCACGCATTGCCATGATACCACTGCAGTGACTGGTGCTGCCACCTGTGCACAGAAAGTTCACACTCTTAACCCAACGTTACCTGTAAGTCAAGGCATATGCTCTTAGCTCAACATTATCTGTAATTCAAGGTCATCATGCTCTTATAGTTCAATATAACCTGAAGGTCAAGGTCATCATGCTCTTAGTTCAATGTTACCTGTAAGTCAAGGTCATCATGCTCTTGGCTCAGCATTACCTGAAGGTCAAGGTCATCACACCCTATACATTTGATGTCCATTGTCCCATTATGCTAATTCTATTAATTGATCGTACTTTCAATCTTCCCGATTGTAAACTGCTTATGTAAAGAAAGATATTCAGGCATTGATAAATATTGCATTCTTATAAATTTATTATTATTACCAGTAATTAAGAGATGTCAAGTTGATCTTGATGCAGAAGTCAGTCCACACTCATGATCATGCAGTAACCTGGTTTTTAATGAGCTATAACATTCCTCCTTAATAGGTGATTTATGTTAAATTATCTTGTATCTGATATATCCCCATATGTGTGATGATATATAGTACATCATACCGTATATTATTGTGTTCATTTCTGTAAGGGTCACACAATTCATTGTTTCATCAAAACCTCATGATTTTGAATGACATTCCTTTACATTGCTTTTTCCTCTGATTTTAGGGTATAATGAAGCTGGTGACCAGTGCTCAGCTAGCTGGTGGACATCACAGTCGGACCAACAGAAAAGGGGTGTTGTCCAGTGCCCAGAGGGCAGTTCATCTAAACCCAGGTAAATAAGTCGTGATCATGAAACAGCATTTTTGCTGCCCCTGTAATATATTGGTGGAACTTTATCCAATAGTCATTAAACTTTAATGTTTATCAGCTGGGTGACCTATGTTTTCTGCTTCAGTGACCTTGGTTTGAGTTTGCATTTAGCTCCAATATTCGCCTCAAAGCAGGAGAGGAGCCAAATATATGAAAGTTTTACGAACATTATGTAACTATGGATATTTTGAGAGGTAGTTCGAAATTTAATCCAAATCTTTTGAACTAAATATGGTTATTTTTAGAGCTTGTTAGAATTTTCATGCAAATCTTTTGAACGAAATATAGGTATTTTTTAGAGGTTTGAATTTTTATTCAAATCATTCAAGTTCTAAAACTATCATTGAAATTCATAGCAAAGATCCCTTGTTTCATATTAAAAGTAAATTGAATAATTACTGCTGACTACAAATAATTACACACCAATGTATGAATTACTCCCTACAGACCAGATGGGGAACTGGTGTAACTTGACGGCAGCCGTCCACAGTCATACTGTATTCCATGGTGACAAGACGGACAAGCTTACTGAACTTATCCTCCTCTATCTAAACTGGATCTCATCAACATTCACTGGTATGTACAGTTAATTAACATTACAAGTTTAAGATTGTACTCTTTCTAGATGTTATCGTGATCATCATTATCTTTAATATGATATCCTACTTGAATGACATATTTTAGATCTTGAGATTCCTCAAGATCAGGGATTTCTCATTAACATTGTATTGTTTAGTATTTTCTATTAACATTGTATTGTTTTAAGATTTCCCATTGACATTGTATTGTTTTAAGATTTCCCATTGACATGGTATTGTTTTAAGATTTCCCATTGACATGGTATTGTTTTAAGATTTCCCATTGACATGGTATTATTTTAAGATTTCCCAATGGCATTGTAGTGCATAAGATTTTCCATTTACATTGTATTGTTTAATATTTTCCTATTGACATTTTACTAGTTGATTTCTCTTTTGACTTTGTATTGCTTGTAAAAAAACTCCCATTGACTGTATGTTTGACATTTCCTTTTAGCTTTGTATTGTTTAAGATATTGCTTGGACATGTTACACAGTGTACATTGTATTACTTAAGTTTTTACCTTCTATGTCTTAGTTTTGCTAAACCTTCATTCGTTGAAACATTTTCCATATTACAATTCATAATTTAGAAATTTCTTAAATTTAAGGGTCTGTATTTTAATAGAAATTATTAAAATATCAGTATATTCAGAAATTCTAATCATTTCTTTTCATCAGATACTCCAAACATATTGACAAGTTGGTGTAAAAGACAAAGAGTTGTTTCCCTTGTCGAGGCTGGCAGAGTAGATGAAGCCCAACAATTACTTAGCAAGGTGATTTAAAAGTTATAAATTGTCTGATGCACAATTCAGTTTTACCTGGGCCTAGTTTTTCAAATCCTAAAAAAAAAAGTATATCAAATCTTTTATCTATCCTATTTTCAAAAAAGATTGCAATTCAAATTTAAAGGACTATGTATGTTTTTTTTTTTTAATTTTGAATACTTCCCCAGTACTATTAATATTATGCTAACATTTATTTGTGTTTTCAATTTTGGGTGCCATGGTAACCAGGTCATATTTGCATAAATTATTGAAATTTGATTATTCAGTCAATTTTGACAGGTTTTCACCTAGTTTTTCTCTTAGTTACCATAGAGCGCACTCTTGAACAAACCTTATATTCCTCCTAAAGATGTATTACAGATGCCTACACATTATCCTTTGATATTAAGTTTATTCAAGCATGCGCTCTATAGTTTCTAGGAGAAAAAACTATGCAAAATATCACAATATGCACTGAATATTCATTTTTTTCTAATTTATGCAAATTTGAACTTGTTACCATGGCAACAATAATTAGAAATATAAAAAAATATTTTCATAATAGTATTTGAGAAGTATTCGAAATAAAAGAAACCGTCATTTCAAAGTTCATTTAAAGGTTTTGAATTTTGATGCATTTGGGGGCCAAAACAGGCCCAAACCATACATAGTCCTTTGTATGTTTAGTGATTAGATATGATCACCCGAAGACAATACTTGCAGAATTGTTTATAAAGTTTCAGATATTCTCAAAATCTACAATTTGAATATTTTGAAAATTTATGTTTAGGACACGTTAAGCTAATCAGGCTTTTGAAAATATTGAGCATTGTTAGCTTTAAGATGTAAAGTCCTGAACAAACGTGAAAGTAGTAAGGGACCTGGATAATTTCTAATAATTATTTAATATACAATGTAGTAAACGTACATATTTTATCAGTATTCTCATTTTAGTTCTTTTTGCACTTAAAACATTGTGCTAATTATAATGACTGTGCTAATAGAAATTTCTCTATAATCAATATTAATGTGCTAATCTCTTAAGATTTGTAAGTATGCTAAAATTTGTGTCGGCTAAATAAGTACTGTAACAGTTTGTGATAACATCATTGGAAATAGAGCAGATGAAGAGTTGAATGTAGAAGTATGATTTATGGAAATAAATAGAATAAATACTTTTTTGTTTGAAGGTTGACAACAAATATTTGAATAACATGCATAACAACAACAAATGCAAATTGATATTCAGTTAAAGAGTTGTAAAGATCCGGAGCTGGTAGATTTTGCGACAACCATAACAACAGTACTGAGTGGAGACATAGGGGCCATGTCACAACAGCTACTACAGTCACGGACCGACACAATTCTCCTCGAGGCTTTGTTGGAGACGTGCGAGCTGGGAGGGGTCAATGTTAACCTCAACGACATACTAGGGGAGATGGAGGAGGACAGAGGGTGAG